ACACTGTCACCACCCCCTCCTCACAATTTATATTCTGCAGCCAATAATCTTGTAAATGAGGAATTAATCAATACAACAAATGGTTAACAAATCAGAGCAACTTAAAGGACTCCAGGACTCAAGGTCAGGTCTCCAGTCGATGTATCGATCCCACTCCAGATGTCAGACATCTAACACCTTCAGTGCTTTTGTTCACACGTTTTGGCAAAAACATTAGTTTCACAACATAGGGGGTCATCAGGAAACCCAAAAATTCATCTTAATTGTGCCATGGTTCCTGTGACACATAGCACAGTGAAGTACATTTTGGGAATCTGATGGAACAGCATATGTAGGTGGCGATGTGGAGCAATCTCTGGAACATTTCTGAAAGCATCTATATAGAAGCATATGAAGGAAACTACAGAACATTTCTATTCAGAGAAGTATTGGCATTTTCAGTGCTCACTCAGCATGCATTTCCCTCCTCTTAATGTCCTCTAAATGAACCTTTACTGTGTAATTCATATGATAAACTCATTATTATTCTACCACATCTGAGTGAGCATCATTAAGTCCCACACAAGTCATCAAAATATTTCCAATCTGTCACAATTATTTTGTGTAGTAAATTCTTCAAATTACCATTTTTATGAAGATCATAACGGAAGAGAAATGCAGAAATTTAAGTTTTTTTTTCCCCTGATAATTCTTATTTGTTTTGGTCACACCGGTCCAGCGTATGGGCATGATTGCTCCGTGGAGAGTTGGCAACCTTCCAGCATGGCTGCATAGAACCCCACTGGGCCCGGTGTCAAGGCCTCTGGTGCAAAGACGCCTTTAAGTAGCCGTCTATTCACCGTCTGTTCATTACATCACCGCAGCTGCCTCCGTAAAAATTTAGGTAAATGGTGTCTGTCTGGAATCAGAATTACATCTATAGTGCATACTTTTCGCAAAAGCCAGCCATGAATGAAATGATGCTTCATTTGCGATTTGCACAATTACGAGAGCAGGTTCAGCGGAATGTGTCAATTATCACATGTCCCGTCTTGCTCTCCTTTGAGGCAAACAGAGCTTGGGGACAAAGTGCACACTTAGACATTCATTTAGTGCCCCAGGAGGGGCTAAGGGCCTTGCTCAAGGGCCCAACTGAGATGTGGCAACTCTGCTGAGCACAGGATTCGAACCGGTGCCATTCTGATCATGGGCCCAGAGGCCTAACCTACTGTGACGGTCCCCCATGCAGTTTCCACAGGACTCAGGAATTCTGCTGGATCACCCACAGCTATCTCCTGGGAACGTGGCTTTCGGGCCGTAATACGCCGATTACGTTTGTCTTCACAGCGGCAGAATAATGCCACGGATGGGTTTTGGAAACCTGCCTCCTGCTGGTCACTCCCTCCCTCACGCCGCCTCAGCCGGCCAAGGGCTGCAGTGTGTCTATCCCTGCGGGGCAGATGTGCTCATTTTTTTCAGTTCACATCTCCCGTTTTCTGATCTGTGAAACTTTAATACTGGCAGAACATGAAAAGAGTCTGCCAGGATATGGAAGACGACCCCCTCCCCCCCGTAGCTGGGGTGTTGGCGCTGCTCCTCCGTGGCCTGGCAAAGTGTAAATTACAATCGGCATGTGCTCCTCCGGGGCTCTGGTGACAACTCCATTGGGATGACATAACCGTTTCCCACAATTCCCTGAGTCCGCTACAACAGTCACTGCCCCACCCCTGCAATTCTGGAAGCTGGGTTTACTAATAATGAGAAAGGACTCGTTCAAACACAGGACTGTTTTCCTGTTTGGTCAGCTGCACCCAGAAGGTCAGAGCCACTGACCTACACCCCTCCGGTAACCCTGTGACATGCCCAAAATTTCCCACAATACATCAGCTCCTGTTGATGCTACTTCTACTTTAGTTTTTTATTTAAATGTACAAAGAACCTGGATTTAAATTTATCAGAAAATTTTCACTTTGCTCACAGTCATTGCTTTAAGTCAGAGGATTTAGCTAATAAGTAAACAATAGTATTATTTATAGTGAGCTCATCGTACGAACAGATGGTTACAGAGCCCAGCACCAAGCCTTCATTCCTTATGAATTTCTCAGTCACTGAGGATGGACATGCAAACTCCTAATTAACAGTGAGTACTAAGCTAATACAACAACATCCTGCTCACTCGGGTTAACCACAGTTTACTTGACTATTAGTTAATTTGTTGCAGGAACGAGGGCCTGGTTGGCTGATTTCATATCTTGGTTCCGCCCTCAGGTTCTCATTCACCTGGGAATATGGCATGATGCCCTAGCTCCACCAGGAGCTCCCATAACACAAGGGGAAAGAGGCTTCCAGTTTGGTACTTTCTATCAGCCTCCGTGACCAGGAAGGTCATTAAACATCGAGGTGATTAAACACTAAAGGAGAGAATACATAAACTAATCATTAATCATAATGGCATTGGTGGTTTTATCCTGGGGAAGTCCCAGAACGGAACCACCGAAACGCCAAAGGGAGCCAGGGAGAGGGGGCTGGTATTGAAGTGGTGGTCCCTGCTGGAAGGGAGGGCTAACTGCGAGGAGCTGCCAGAGTAGCGAAGCGGGAAGCTGCAGATGGGCTGGGATTGAGGTGGCGGTCCTCACTGGGGGGGAGATCTAGCTGCGGGTAGCTGCTGGAGCAGCGAAGCGGGAAGCCACAGACAGACTGTGAGATGGGGTAGGATGAGGTGGCGGACCCTGCTGGTGGGGAGTGGTAGCTGCAAAGGAGGATATCAGAGCAGCAAAGCAAGCAGCTAGGAGAGGAGGGGGACACAGCAGGGAGAGAGACAGACACCAGGAGGGGGGTATCTGTGCGTCAGAAGACAGACGCCAGACAGGCGGGGGGGTGGGTGTTACATCAATGCTGCTGCTTATTTTTAGGCTGTGATGTCACACGGTACCTGTCACAGGTAAAATACAATTTGGGAATCCTTTCAGTGGAGCCCCTGGACAAAAAAGGCTTGATTTGAGACATTTTATACATTTACTCCTTAATTCACCCTATCTGACATGCTGGTTACTTGAGATAAACTTTAATTGTCTTTTCATGTACAGATTCTTTCATATCAGTGTTTCTGAAGCCAGTCCTCAGGGACAAACCCAGTCCAGTCCACATTTTCACTCTCTACCAGCTCCCAGCACACCTGTATGCAGAATCTGGTGTTCTCAATGGTCTAGGAGCTGCCGATGAAGCAAAAATGTGGACTGTCTCAGGGTCCCCGAGGACTGGCTTGAGAAACACTGATCTAGATAATAAGCCATATCCCAGGGAGGGGTGAAGTCACACGACGGGCTCATTTGCACCCCTGTGCATATTTATGAATAATAATATAAATGAGTTCTGGTTTGCCTCTCAGGTGCAGTCCGCCCATCCTAAGCTTTTAGCAGATGTTACCCTCCCAGAGCCCCAACGTCCACAGTGCATTTTGCTTGTACTTAAGCAAAAATAGCTGCTTTCTGTTCTTCTTCCTTCTTACAGTTTTGCAAAACCATAAACGAAGTCCCCTACTTCCCCCTCCCCCCCCCCCCCCCCCCCCATCCCCGAGTCATGCCGATCAGCTTGCTGTCCCACCCGGAGAGATTCTTCCAGACGTTCATTTCCTCCGGCGGCATGGTAATACCAGCGGGGGTAGGAATGGAGGCTGCAAATTAATATGAACCTTTCCTTATGCTAAAAAAAACGTGGCAGCATTTTTACAGGGACAAACAGCAGTAGTTGGCAGATTACTAACAGCAAGCAGGGACAATCAGCAGTGGACCTCGCAGATTACAATCAAGAATAAACCTATTTTGGGCCAATTCAAGGTCGTAGGTTTGGTTTCAACATTGGTAGCGAACCAAATCAGCCCTGAATACCAAGCTCCCTGAAACGCTCACTGTATCTCCCACAATATCGGTAGGGATATCATTAGTTTATTTATCAAATGTTTCCACTGATTGCCCCAACGGCATAGATTTGGGTATGGATGGTAAAGACGTGTCCCTATCAGTATTGTGGGAGTACTGTGTGTGTCTAGGGGGCAGGATGTCCTGGGCTCACTTATTTAATGTGTGGCTCAGCGGAGGGGATGCCATGCCTGTGAACAGAAGGTTGTTGGTTCACACTCCGGGTTTGGCAGAGTGATTTCATCACTGGGGCCGTGAGCAAGGCCATTAAATCCAGTTGCTCCAGGGACTAGCTGACCTTGCTGTCTCCAAAATGTATGTCATTTAGGATGAAAGTGTCGGCTAAATAAGGTGAGGATGGTGGGGGTGATGCAAAACAAGCCTCCAATCAGGTGCACGCATGGGCGTCTGTCGTCCCCAACCCAGGTCCCAAACAGGATAATTCAGGCCTCTTTCACTGCTCCTACAGTCAGCTCTTATTTCTGTCAGTGGGTGAAAAAGTTATTACGAGCGACGTACTGTGGAGGAAAAAGCGCACACACATACACACACATCTCTCAACAAAGCTGGTCTGGTATGAATCCACTGCAGTGATGCAGTTGTATCTATTTCTCTCTTTACGGGGACATTTCTCCAGACTTTGACCTCACAAGGACGTTACAAACAAAACGCTTCTCTGATGTTCTAAGCATTAACTGAAATACTTAGCATTCGCAATTAAAATGCTCTTTTTCAGATCTAAATGAAATATTCTGTTTACAACCCCCCTGGGAGTCAGTGTGTGCTGAGACTCTCGAGAACCAATCCGCCGCTAGATCTCATCTTTAACTCCAACGCCTTATTAACCCTTAGAGTTTAACCAGCTAACGTTTTACCATTTGGCAGCGATCGCCGGCTCCAGAATCAGTTCATCTTAATTACGTTTATCGTCTGTGGTTAGGGAAGCCCACCGCTTCCAGTAATGAATGCTCCCTGAAGGTCCAGATGAATCAGACATAACGTGAGATCTACACAAACCGTTGTTTAATCGCCATGGAGTTTTCCCCGGATGCACCCAAAGGGGGCGAATGAATAAACAGTAAAAGAGAGGGAGAGGAGACTCACGGGAAAATACAGCAGCAGCGCGCCAAACAAGATGGCTTCCAGGAGCACGAGTCCCGATGCTCTGATGCACTGGAAGAGAAGAGATGCCCAGATGGTTGCACATACCTGCCTGAACCCGCTAACCTGCTTGTGTCAGGAGAGAATGATTGTAATGGTACAGAATGTCCTTGCGAGGCTGTGCAATGAGAATACAAATATCTTTGTAGGGAGATTTATAGACATAAGTAGGGTTGTTGAGTGAATAATAAATTAAGATCAGCAGGGTGAGACTGGTATTGGTTAAATCCAGGCTCTACTTGGATCCCATTGGTGAAATCTGGACTCTGTTTTGGATCCCACTGGTCAAATCCCACCCACTAGATCACAGCCTCATATCACCCAGCACTGGATCTTATTTGTGCAAATATTCTACAGTGTTCTCTTTATGTTTCTTTTTCCAAGGGGAGAGGACTGGTGTGGTGAAATGCAGTCAAACAAAAGCAGAGACACATCGTACAGGCATTGCCACAGTGACCTTTGTTACCTTGTTGCCACGGAAACGATAGATCACCACCATGCTGAAGAAATCAGCCAGCATGCAGAGCCCCTGGAAGACGACAGCAGCGACGCGGAGGGGCCCGTCGGCATGCGTGTGGCACGGTGTGTCGTCCTTGCAGTAGGCGCAGCCCTCGCGGCACGGCAGGCAGTGGCTGGAGCCCTCCCAGGAGTCCCTCCCTGAAGACTCCACCCTCTCCGCCTTCCCTGGGGGGAGAGACGACGTGGCCAGCAGGCATGAAGTTAGATGGTTTTGCCAGCTGACAGAGACACCATGAGACATGAGTGGAGCCTTCCAGGTACTGGAGCAGAGTGGGTGACGTCGTTAATCAATTAACTGACAATGATCCCCAGCAGGTGGCGCTGAATGTAAGTTCTACTCCCCCATTCCCAGTTGCCGAGTCTTCAGCAGATGTCTGCCAAGAAGGAGATGTTCATTTCAAGATGTTCATTTCATCCTGTGGTTTGGTGATCCTCGGCAATTGTTAAAATCAGCCACCTCTAGTTTTGCTAGGTTTCCATGGAACAGCCCTGATCACCAGCCTGTCTGCATCCTGCACTTCAATCTGGACCCAGTGCTCAGGTAACGTGGCTCTGAGTGGGACCCAGCCGGTGACACTCCTCTAACCCTTTTAGCGCAGGTGACAGGCATCTCCCAGGTGGGGGGGAGGATGCTTATCTAGACTAAACAGGACTTAAAGCTCACTGCGTACACCTCCCGGGCTGTGCTTCCTCAGCCTACCCTGCTTTGAAATGAACCACCCCCCCCTCCATTAGATTTCCTTCAGTACCTGGTGGCCTTTCCCAGAGTTTTACATCATAAAGCCGTTTTTACAGACTCCGGCTTCTATGCAGGCAGCCTAAAAACCCAAAGTGTAAGAAAAGCGTGAGGTCGTTATGTGGAAACGGCAGCCTAAGCCACTGGCCATCCATTGAAAATCAACACGGACTCTGACAAAGCTGGGTAATCCACCTGGATCTCGTGCAGATGCCTGGACCGATCGTCTGACCAGAATCCGGCGGATTTCTGTCCCTTGTTGTCTATGAAGCGTTGCTGTGGATATGATCCCGGTATTCTGATGAGTCTTTATGGGGCATGCAGAACTCAGCGGGAAGGGGCTTGTAGTTCTCCTCAATACGGCGCTATTAAAACATGCATGCCGATGTGTAACCGATGAATTTGATGGGGGAAGAAGATGGATGTCACACACACCTATTAACAGAGGCAGGTGCAGAGGGCTGATGTGTGTGTCTGACTGCAAGCGGCACTAACCTGCTCTGTGAATAGTGCAGTTTACCAACAGCAGTGCTGCTTCATCGAGCTGTTCGGGCCGGGGGGTGGATTCGCAGAGGGATTCGCTGTCTATTTTTAGACATTTTGAGCATATATATATATGCAGAGTAAATAAAATGTCACACTGAAGTAACTCAGTCTGACCAAATCCATACAGATGGTGCTGGGGGGGGGGGGGCAGGTGAGGGCATTGAGATCTAAACTTAAGCAAAATAAACTCTAATGCACAGGATCACCCAGCTTCACATTAGCTTTACTACCGGTGTCACAGGCAGACGGATTTAATGGCTGCATAAGACAGCACATCTCTCTCGCGCGCGTACAGACATACACACGCAGTCACACTCTGCAGCAAGCAGGAATGCGCAGACCCACACCGCAGACACCTGCCGAGGCGATAACGCCTGTCTGCTGTGCGGCCAGACGGCCGCCGGTGCCCCCCCGCCTGCCCGTTTTAATGAGGACGGGAAAATAGAGTGACCTGTCAGCAGAGGAGGCAGCAGGAGCCCCCCCTCGCGGGAGTCAATCAGCGTCGGTGGAGGGAAGCCCCGCGCGTGCCAGCCGCCGCCATTCCCACGCCCGGCCTCCGGCAGCACTGGGGGAGCCCGTCTGTTTGCCTGGCCCACCCCGACCCCCACCTAGCTCACGACCCGCGTCCCACAAACCCGATGGATCGCTAATCTCACATCTGACGCCGCCAAATGCTGCAGCGGAGGACTGTTAGAAAAAGCCACCGGGCCCGCACCTCTCCCCCCGCCGGCATCGTCCTGGCTGACCTTTTGCCAGCTGTCTGCCCCCCATGGACAGGGAGGAGGATGAAGACCAGCCAGAGGCACTCGGCAAAAAAAAAACAAAAACATTATACATTATACAAGTTATACAGCAGGACGGCTAGCAGGAGAAAGCTATTAACATGGGGGTGGTCAAATTCAAATCAACCCACAAGCTCAGTGCTGAGAATCTCTGGGATGTTCGCTGAGGGTCTGGCCTGGTGTTGGACCAACTGTACCAGAGGGTCAACATGTACTGAACACGCCTGACCGGGTCTCGCTTCGTATTCAGAGACGATGCAGGCAGGAGGTGAGGACCAATAGCTGTCGGTCTTATGGTGCTATGGTGTGGTGGATCTCGGTCTATACGACAGTCACGTCTTCGGTCTTCTCCGCAGTGTAATTTCTGTGGTTTTGGACCAAGGCTTGGGCCGGTGGTGGCATTTTGCTGTTCCAAAGAGGGATATCCAAACCAGCACCAAATCCAGACCACATCAATACACCGCTCCGAGAGCGCTAAGAGTCCATACTCCACGTGCGGACACAGGCACCTCTTACTTTCCTGCTCCAAGAATTCCAACAGCACTCTGAGAATTCCAACAGCACTCTGAGAATTCCAACAGCGCTTCTGAGAATTCCAACAGCACTCTGAGAATTCCAACAGGGCTTCTGAGAATTCCAACAGCACTCTGAGAATTCCAACAGCACTCTGAGAATTCCAACAGCACTCTGAGAATTCCAACAGCACTCTGAGAATTCCAACAGCGCTTCTGAGAATTCCAACAGCACTCTGAGAATTCCAACAGCACTTCTGAGAATTCCAACAGCACTCTGAGAATTCCCAGAGCTGTTGGATTCTACAGTGATTGAACATCACAACAGGCTGATCCTTATCATTCACTGTACCCAGAATGTTGCCATGAAGTGAGATGTAAAGAACGAAAGACAATGCCATCTCTACGCTCATTCCAGGGACCCTGTGCGCTAAATCCGGGGCTTTCTTTAGCAAGTAGTGTGGACCCAATGGTGCAGCCCCAAAGCTATAGCTTCTGAATCACTGATCCCACAGCATTGTTCCATACCCAATTCCAGCTCCAGTTGATTCATCCTTGAGTGGCTTGGATCAGCCCACTGGAAATCAGGAAAGATGGGTCACTGAGTTTGTGCACTTCAAATAGCACCTCAAATTAGTATTTGACTTAAATAGGATTAATCAGTGGCTTAATTATTCAGAGACTTTAAATTCCAGGAAATAAAATGTTAAATTATACTGGCAGATGACATTGGTTTATAATTTAAAGCCTAAAGACAATAAGGAATGTGCCTTTGTCCCAAAAGAACCCTGCACAATAATGCTTCAGAAAAGGGCGAGAACATGTCAAGGTAAGTCGACCCCATATACCCCGACCCCATTTACCCCGACACACAGCTCATCCATGGCTAATGAAGTTCAGGTTAATTAGGTAGAATACGTGATTGAATGGAACATCAGCATCCACGCAGAGGTCTGCCCAGCACTGCGGCAGAGATAATTTTGTTTCAAAAAACTGTTGTCTGTATGAAGGGGCCTTGTCTTTGTGCCTTACTTGGCTACCGTAGTGCCCCTCAGCCAGGGGTGTCCGGCCATATGGCCTGATGAAGGGCAGATGATAAACAACATCTGTTTACTGAACAAAAACACAAGCACCTGAAACAGGTAGGTGATTTTAGGGGGTTTTCAGCAGGAAAAAGACACCTCAGAGACAAGAAGTTTATGTAGCAAGTTCACCTAAAGGTGGTCGGAGTTTCCCTGAACTAATCCGGTAAGGATGAAGGCAGATTTTTCCTTCAACAGTTTATTGAACCCGCGACACAGCTTACTAATACAGTACCCGGACTTCCTCCTTCCAACTCCATACTTCCTGTTTTGTAATTTTTTTGTATCTAATCAGCATTTCCGAAACTCGGCTCTGAAAGCTGATGCACCAGTCAGTTTCAATCAGCAGATTCTGAACAACATTAAGCAGACAACATAAACTGCAGGCAACTCAGAGCTGCGGTTTCACTGAAACTTACTTTTGAAGCTGCTGGTGGTCACTCGGCTGGGGTGGTAGAAGCCCTCCTTGCACTCACACCTGTACTTGTCCAGCACGAAGCCGTGGCCTGGGCGGGACACGCACTGTGGACACAGCAGACAGAGGGCGTGACTTACATTAGATGACACATGATCGTGTTGAAGCACGCGGCCCGTTCCGTCCACGGTCAGCGTCCTGGGGCGAGCTCTGGGCTCACCACGATGGGTGCACGGGCTTTACTCTCTTAGTATCTTTATTCGATTTATTACTTTTCATTTGCACTAAGAGCAATGACAGCAATATTTCCACTTAGTGTGTGACCCATGCAGCATGTATCTAAAGCTGACAATAAAGATAGTTTGGCTCTGATACGGCGTGAGCTCAGACCCAACTAAACACAGCTGGATCCGCTATGAGTGTGTTTGTTTTGTGTGTACTCCTCAAGGGGGACCGTTGACTGATTGCTTACATTCTGAATTCTTTTGAGAGAGGAATCCATACTTGTGAATTCTCCTGCCCCTTCACCACCTTAGCTACTGTGTGGTGAACATATTGGCACAGAATGGCTGCAGTCACGTCACCCAGGTGGGGGCTACACAGTGGTGGTGGTTGAAGCGGCTCCCCATTGGTTTGGGTGTCTTGAAAAGCGCTATATAAATGTAACGTTCATTCATTCATTCATTCATTCAAATTCCCAGTAATTTCATGATGCCAGTGCCGGTCAACTCATTAGGTGACATAGGCAGCCGCCTAGGGCACCATCTTCTGAGTAGGCGGCAACTTAGCAAGCCGATTTCACCAATGGTGAAGCTTGCCTCAGGTGCCTCATGGGCTTCGATCACTACTGCATGGTGCTGCGACAACCTAGGCTAGACAAACTGATGCCTGACGTTCCTGGGAATTGCATGCAAATCCATTCTGATGGTCAGTGTGCACAGAAATGACCTTATCACTTACGTAAAATTTAAATCACCCTCTAAAATAACCAATTTTAAATGACACTAGGAGTATGTCTCCAGATCTGCAAACCATTGCACTGTTCTGACTTTAAAAATGAATGTTCCCTGTGAGGATTTAAGGCTACAGTGATTGTACAGCCTCTGAATGTGAATCTGTCCTCTCTGATCTTCAGAATAATAATATTAAATCCTGCTTAACATACATTGTTGCACACTGCCTGTTTTTCCCTCTGGCAACTTTTAGAATTTTGATGACAACTTCCTGGGGATCAGGGATACCTTTGACCTCTGTTTGGGGTCATTTTGACCCGCCTGCAAAGGGATGAGGAGCCTTAAGGCTGTCAATATATGCAATGCCGTCTGGTGCAACTCAATCTGCTCCCTTTTCATCAAAAGGGCAGCAAAACCCCAAAATAGCCCTTTATGGAACACGGTCACAACCAGGACGGATGTCGGCACCCAGACATCGTTAAAAGGCAGGAGTCCAAAAGGACTTCATACGACATGTAAATCACACTAACAGGGGATAAAGCCACTCTTAGCAGCTTCATTAGACTTTCACAGAGCTGCTCTCAAACACTATACATGAGAGGAAAAAATTATAGATCATTTGGCCTATATACCATGGCATTGATTAAGTTGTTAAGCTGTTGGTCAAATTGATTACTTGGCATGTCACACCAGCAACTGTCTTTTTCTGTTGTGTAAGGATGTAGGCAGTAACATTCTTAGTGAGTATTTGTAATTTAATGAACAGCTGGAAATCAGCTGAATTAATGGAGTTAGACTGCTAGAGAGTTATCAATATTTTAAACACTCACTGGTCAATATTCAGTGTTATTGACACTAAAGGCCTCCTAGGCTGATCAGACAAACTGATGAAAAACACTGAACAGCATTATTACTGTTGACTTGAGATTATCGTCTACAATGACTTACAAATTTTATCCACTTCTATAACTGGATGTTTCACTGGAGAAATTCGGCTTAAAGGTACAACAGCGGTATCCTTCTGGGATTTGAGCTGGCGACCTTGTCATTAACCCCCACGCCACCTGTTGTCTAGCAGTGGACATGCGATGCATGTGCAGAAACAGCCATCAAGGGTCACCAGGTTCAGCTGTCAGTTTAAATAGATGAACCAAGGATGGAGTTTAGAAATTGCAACCTTCCATTAACCTTCACTTAATGCTAGCGGAGCAAATAAACCAATATTCAGTGAAGGATGACCATGAGCCAAGGGAAAACACATCTGTGGCCTCCAGCATCATGCTGTAGAGGGTCCAGGGACTCCCATGATGCCACCTGTTACGTGACAGGACAGAAAAACAACAAACGGCTTAATCAACAGCAAGGCCGCGTTTTACAAAACAAAGTCACATAAAAAAAAAATTTTTAAATCAACAGCTTCTGTGGATCTTTCTGAAAAGCACGGTGCCGGGTAATTAATCACAGAAACGACACTTTAGGGCCTGAAGATAAATTAACATCACACAGGCCAGTGGTATTTTGAACAATGACCTTTTAAATAATGCACACGCCGTCTCGTTCTGTACTGTTATTAGTGTGGGTGGTGAAGGTTGATTTGAAAAGTTTCAGAAAAACAATTTACGGAGAAATGAATCAAAATGAATCAAATACAGATATATTTTGGGCTCACTAACATTCTACCATTGTATTACAGATGCAGTTATTTAAAACGTGTTTATCGTGAATAGATAGTAATCAAGTATCCCACATGAACGGCTAGGTAACAGAGTTCCTAGTTCTCAAATCTCACCTGTAGGTGGGGCCATTCCAGGGTTTTTTTTTTTTAAATGGGGCCAGCGGCTCCGCCCCCTGTGTACATCCCTGCTCACAGCTTCAGGTTTCTGTCACTCTTTGATAGATAAACAAAGCCCAGCCTTACTTAATCTTATAAGACGTCCCACCTCAAGGCCAGTGCTGACCTGCAGCTATAATTCATTTGGGGGGGGGGGGGATCACACCTCCATTTTCTCGATGACACACATGTGAGTCAGAGATAAAGCGATCTGACGCAGGAGGCCGTGGCATCAGCCTTGCAGGCGTGTCCAGGACGATGTCCGGGATGGAAAAAAAATTACTTCCTCGCAATCCCCCGGTCTAGCTGACACATCCCAGTAACAGTCATCATCTGAAAGACATCGGGGAACCTTCAGCAAGACCTTCTGGGAACAGCTTTGTACTAGCAGGAGCAGAAGACTCTCCAACCCAATTATCCTGCTCCATTCTGCCGCATCTCCTCACTGACAAGCTTCTTAATTGGCTCACGTCTGTACGTTTTTCAGGCTAGAACGATCAGGCATCACGGAGGGACTTTTCCCACGAAATGCCAACTCTGCAACCGTCTCTTTAGCGGCAGTTGTTCGAAAATAATTTATCGATCAGTAATTCCTCTGGTATAAATACATAAAATACACAAACTTTAGGACCACACAGATTCACTGGTGCAGATAATTCGAAGACGGAGACATGCAGATATCTGACAGAAGTTGAAGCACATAGTAGACAAGGTGATTCTACCACTGACACAAAGGCTAACTAGCCTTACATGTAGTTTAGCATGGGCTCATCAGAAAAAAAATGGATATTAGCCATTAACAGCTAGTTCCTTGAATATAATATCTAAGTATTTCAAATAAAAAGAGCATTGTATAATTAATATCTGGTTATTTTACTAGATTGTTATTAGCCTATTTAGCTAACATGATCTAATGTAACAACAAAATTACTGACAATAGCCACATAAAAATTAATCTTGTGTTAAGCAAATTAGTTGTCAGGCTGCCGCCCCCCTCCCCTTAATTCTCCGTGTGTCCCAGGATAACCTTCAGTCGAGGATTGCCCCGGGTGGAGATGCCTCGATCCGGCAGGCCATCCCGCCGGTGACTCAGACGATGCTTGTTACCCTGGATACGTTTGTCTCCCCCCGTGCCAGACTTCAGATGCCAGTTACTGCAAAGGGCTTTTAGTTCATTGGGTCCCTGCCAACGCGGAATGTTATGCGCAGACGGGGAATTCCTCTCCCTAGATCATGCCTCTATCCCACTTTGCTGCTCTCGGAATTAATATTAATGTTAACTCAGTGAACTTCCTCTAGTCTAGGAGCAATGGGCTAATCTGTCAGACTGGCCCAGCGGCGTTTCAGGTTGCACGTCAAGACAGGAGCTCTGGAGAGGATGAAGGTCTAGGGAGATGTCACTCCAACTTCATCCCCAGGGAACAGGAGCTCAAGTTAGCCATTTAAACCTAGCTAGCGGGCTTACGCCTTATGATGGCTGGGCTTGGGTCACTGCAGTCCCTGTGTATTCTCCAGTATGACCAGTAAGCGTAATGTACTTAAGCTAATGGTCCAACCTTTTACATAGCTGCCTTCTTCCTGTGCCGGTTCTGGTTATGGATGAGACACGACATCCTGTCCTGCCACTTCAGCCCTACATCTTCATTAAGAGTCTGCGGTAGTTAACTGGGCTGCACGGTAGCTGAAATGAAACTGGATCCACCTGAACTGGGGGTCTTCAAAGATGAGGTTTCGTAATGCTTCATAAAAGCGGCTGCCTCCCTGCACAGACAGTGGATAAGACTCAACGTACAGTACACCACGTTTCCGCCGCGACTGGGAAATGGCTTCCCCAGTTCCAGTTCATTTGTCTGCTGTGAAATTTAATTTCACCTGCCATTTTATGCTGATTTATTTGTCAGTACTGTAGAAGGTGTGTTTTTGAATTTCTGAGTAGATACAGTCCTTCAGACGCTAGCACTGTCACCTCAAACCTCCCGACTTGTGAGTCTGAATCCTCTCTCTGAGTTTGCATGTTCCTCCACAGCCCACAGACATGCGTCTCTAAACTGGCATCTCTAACTCACCCAGAGTGTCTGTGCCCTGCAGGCTTTTGCAGAAGCCTCAGTTTACCTCTACTCCAAAAAACTCTTGACAACTTGATATGACACCATGATAAGATCTCGACTGCTCCTCTGGCTACTCCGCCTACGCTGATCACATGCTTGACAAAGTCCAGGAGTAAACATTCAGCCTACAAAGATACTGTAGTGACTTAAAAGCTGCAAATACTTTGTATCTCCTAAGAACAGCTATGCTGCACCCTGTACTGTTTAACAAATAT